AAGATTCTCGGAAAAGCTCTGCTTGACATTGGAGAGACAGATCCACATGAGATTGCTCACTAAATCAGGAACAACAACTCCCTCTCAACAGCTCCGCACGACAAAAAAATGACCCCTTATGTCAGATCCATTCACAGGTCAGCCTGGCACCCGAAAGGCCGGTACATTTATTTACTCAGCTTTGACTGTTGGTCATTTCAATGGAACTCATTTTTCAGTAACGACACTTAGGACCATGGTGAAATAATGCAGAAATGAAAGCCAAAGCACATGTCATTGTTCCTTATATCCCCATACATTAAAAAGGGGGCGGGTGGGTGGCTTCTTTCCCTCCCCACGGTCCCCAAGCTCAGTTACTTGCTCACCTGCAAGAACCGGGATGAGCAGGAGAGCGAGAGAGAAGAGCAGAAGGAACCTCATGGTAGGAGCCTGGGAGCGATCCGTCTCCAATGAAGGAAGGACAAAAATAGACAAAAATAGACAAGCCTGCTTATATAGAGTTGTGGTGCATAATGGCTTGTGGTAGAGAGGGATGTATCCTGCTTCTGGAAGCTCAGATTTCTCCTTGAAGAACTGCCAGTCCTCATTTGAAAGCACCATCGGTTTCATTGGCTTTCCAAGCCAAGATTGATGGAAACATCAAGAACCTGTTGGAGATACCATCACCACCTGAATCTAGGAGCTGGTCTCTTCATCTTTAATGGTGGTGTGCCAAGGTTGGAAAGGGAGGGGGGATTTTTACGCACAGGCTAATGAGCTCAGGGGTTAAACCAGGCAATGGCTTTAACTCAAAGCTATATATGTGTTCAATTCTACACATTATGTGCTCCCTAGATATCTGGCTGTGGAGCCAGAGGTTGGGAGTTCGATTCCCCCATTGTGCCTCCTGTGAGGAGAGCCAGCCTGTGTGGCCTTGGGCCAGCTGCACAGTCCCAGGACGCCCCCAGAAGAAGAAAATGGGAAACCGCTTCTACTTTCTACCTGGAAAACCCTGGAGAGGCTGGCCGTAAGTCAGAATTCGCTTGATGTCACATAATGATTACAGTGGGGTCTTGACTTGAGAACTTAATCCGTATTGGAAGGCGGTTCTCAAGTCAAAAAGTTCTCAGGTCAAATCTGCATTTCCCATAGGAATGCATTGAGAACCATTTGATCCGTATCTGCTCTTTTCCGTCCATAGAAACTAATGGGAAGCTGCTATTCTGCCTTCAACCACTAGAGGGGAATATTTTGTTTCTTTTTTTCTTAGGTCAAGGAAGGTTCAGGGAAGGCAGGGAAAATACAGTCCAGGCAGTACCAGGCAGTCCGAAGACTTTCTCCCAATCCACTCTCTAAATGCTGGGAGGAGTGAGGAAGCAGACAGGCACCCTTTTCACCGGTCAACAGTTAACTGAAAGTTCAAATTTTGCACTTTCCCTGCCTCCCACGTGTTTTTTTTTTTCAGTTCTTAACTCAAATCTAAGTATGTAAGTCAAGTCAATATTTTCCTATGAGAGCGGTTCTTAAGTCAAAATGTTCTTAACTCAAGCCGTTCTTAAGTCAAGACCCCACTGTATTAGAACTGTTGGATAGCTCAGTGGTCTGGCTGAGGAGCGAGAGACTGAGAGTCTGATTCCCCAATATGCCTCCTTGATGGGGGATGGATTTGTAGCAGCGATTGGACTCAAGTCATGTGACTCACCATTGAATCGGACTTAAGTTGCACCAGGGACGTGACTCAAATTCAACTTTGGGGGATGGTTCAATGACTCAGACTTGACTTGTGACTTGGACCCATTTTTCACGATTTCAAGTTCCTATTCTTTTAATAAAGGTCACTGTAAACCTGGAAAAGGTTTCGTGACACTCGTCAGAAGACATAGAAGAGCCAGGCGAAGAGTGGAGGAGGAGGTAGCAAAGGGCAGGAAGGGTTTTTCAAGAAGGTAGAGGGTGGAGGACTGAAGGAAGGCGAGGCAGACAGGGAAGATGGGACCAAAATGGGTAGCTTATAAGCCTCAGATCTCCACACACACATATCCTATATAGAACCCACCCCCACCCCTCCCTTTTTTTCTGGGAAGAAAAGCTTGTTTTTTAATAGGGACTCAGACTCGGGACTTGGGACTTGAACGCAAGGACTTGCCAGCATCCTTGATCCATAGGGTTCCTTCCAGCTCTGCAGTTCTAAGAGGATCTGAGATTCTCACAGCAGTCCATTTAGGAGTATTTGAATAAATCATCTCTCTCTCCAGTTGCCTTTGCGTCCAGCTGAGCAGGTGGAATACAGTGATGCCTCGCTTAGCGATCGCTCCAGTGAGCGATGAAATCGCTTAGCGATGGGGTTTTGGACATCGGCAGAGCGATCGCTTAGCGATTGCCCCTATGGGGAAAAATCGCTTTGCGACGATCGTGGGGAAGCGATCGCCGTAAAGCCCCCATTTTCGAACAGCTGATCGGCAGTTCCAAAATGGCCGCCAGGTTAACAAAATGGCCACGCGCTGTTTTGCCTCGCTTTAGAGGCACCCAAAATGGCCGCCACTATGGAGAATCTTCACTTAAGGTCAGTTTTTCAGCCCATAGGAACGCATTAAACACATTTTAATGTGTTTCTATGGGCTTTTTCTTTTCACTTAGCGGTGAAATCCCTTAGCGACGTTTTTTTCCAGAACGGATTAACGCCACTAAGTGAGGCACCACTGTATTTGGGATTACAGCAAAATCTTCAACCTCTTCCTTGCTTGACGGTTTGCTCCTTTTGGAAGGGAGGGTATCTACCCTGAGGTAGAGATGCCATGCACCCATTTGGCCAACTTAAGTACAGCCAGCCCACGTGCAATTCTTGCCAATAGGGACTGAGGATTTTACCATCCGGTGTTTCAGAGAACACGTGTGTGTGCCTCATTACGACTTCAAAAT